GGTGGCCAGGGGTTGCTGAGATACCTGCTGAACAAGTAGCCAGTTCCAACTCTGAAAAGGAAGAAGGCAGTGGCTGGCGAGTGCGACAGGCAGGGGATGTGGTGGGCTAAGGTGGGGATAGGTGGGAGAAGTACGGAGGGAACAGATGCTTTTGAGAGGACATGAACTGTTGGGGAATCAGGACCTGTTGTGGGGGTCAGGAGCTAATGGGGAGAGCAGTTTCTGATGTTAAGCAGATAGGCAGTGTGCAGGGGTTGGACAGCGTGGAAGTGACTCCAAACTCTCCTTCCCCTTCAATCCCCACCCAACCTAGCTCATGGGAGGAGAATATAACTTCCCCTAATGGCATAGTCCCATCCCAGCTGCTGGGACACTGCCTGACTGCACCCCATTGCTCTTTGTAGGAGTCCTCGAGATATTTTCCAATCAGGAAGTCAAAGTTGATTGTAGGAATTGGGAAATACAATGTCCAGATTAAAGGTGAGCTGCAGAAAACAAAGTGTGTGTCCTTTAATCACAGACTGAAAGTTAGTTAGGTTTTTAAAAAAGATTTTTATTTTAATGTTTTTTGAACAATCACACCCTGAGTTCCTGCTTTTTAATGGAGTACTTTAGGAAGAACTTTGGAGCATCTGGAGGGAGACATCACAGGTTGATTGAAACCTGTTCTGCTCTGCCAGCCTTTTAACTGCGGGGGAGAGGAGCGAGTGGCCTGTTACCAAATAAGCCCTCCAGCATAAAGGAGGAAGTAAGAATCTGATGTTGCAAATATAAACTATAAAGCAGAAAAATTTTAAAGAAAAAACACCCCTTTGTCAGCACAGGGAACAAATACAGCTTTTTATTTTGCAATGTGTTTTTTAGAGCTTAGACACAAGTAAACAAAAGAATGATGTTTTACAATAGAAACCCCCTTCAGATGTTAAATGTCTTGGATAACTGACCTTTAAAGTTCACTTTCTTGTGGCTTGAAGCTGATTCCCTGCCTACAGTAGGCTGGATATGGAATGAGCAAGTGCTGCGAAGTAAGTTCTAGAAACTATGGTACGTGTTAAATAGCAAGTGTCAAGACGATATATATTATTACATACACAAATAAAAATAGTTTCCTTGTCTGTATTACTAAAAATACTCTACATTATCAACATGGGAAAAGTTTGAAGCATCAAACATTTTTTTCAGCATTTCTGCTGTTTACTCTGTTTCACCTCGAGTGGGCAGTGAAACGAAGCTGTTTAATTTATGGCCAGTTTCACTTGCTGTTTGTTGTCACTGCCGCTTTCTGATGCTCACCCTCAAGCCCAGTGCTGTTATCTTTGGACTTTCAGCATTGCAGGGAACTAGGTTTTTGTTCATGGTGGTGGTTGTTACAATTTCTTGAAACCACGCCTGTTTGTCCCATGTTTCAGTTTACACAGCCTAGACGTTGTGCCTAAAACCAGTTGTTACTGTTAAGCTTTTGAGAACTGTATCAAAACAGATTGTACAGAATGTGGTAATCTCTCTTTTTGTGGGACACTAGTCTAGTGTTACAGTGTCTCTCTTGAAACTTCCAGTTGAGGTTGAATTAAACCTAGTTTACCACAGCCCCTCCCACCACCTCTTAGTTCCTGATAAGATTCATATCAGTAGAAACCACTGGAAATGTCTCAGCTTTCAGCTAGTGTTTACAGCCTCGCTGTGCAACATCATTTACATCAGAAACAACTGGCAACGCAGCCAATGGCCTCTAATCATTCCGCCACTTCTCTGTTTCTTCTGCCTCAGTGTTCAAGGGACAATGCACACTGTGCACATGCAGGAGGGAACAAAATCCCACAGCAAGACATTAAAATGTCACAACACCAGCTAAAATGAGGATTAAAGAGAGAGACAGAGGTAGAGTTGATTGGCAAATGATATGCAGTTAATAGCCCTTTGCATGCGTTGGCTTTGCACAATGTTTCTATGTAGTTTTAAATGGCTTCTAAGTGTATAAATTCCATGCAAATGTAACCTTTATTATGAGAGCATAAGTAATAGGAAAATCTAATTAAAGGGTAAAAGGCTCGCTAGAAATGGAAGCTTCTTTTCATATGGAATCAGTAATGAATGAAATGACATCCGTCAAGGATATTATTGGAGATGACTACTGACAAGTACAAAGAAAAGCCTGCCTATCACAACATGATTTAATTAATGGCTTTCCCCCTTCCACACACCCATCCCCTCCAGTCCCTATCCTCAGTGGCTCGCAAACTTTTTTTTACTGGTGACCCTTTTGATATAGCAAGTGTCTGAGTGCGACCCCCTCCCAATATAAATTAAAAGCACTTCTTTATATATTTAACACCATTATAAATGCTGCAGGCAAAGCAGGGTTTGGGGTGGAGGTTGACAGCTCACGACCCAACCATGTAATAACCTCGTGACCCCCTGAGGGGGTCCCAAACCCCAGTTGAGAACCCTTGCCCTATGTGGTCCTGGGTGAATTATTATTCCATGTGCCTGCATCAGAATAGATGAAAACAGCATCGGGACTGTCAAAAGCCTCTCCATTTTGCTTAACCCAAATCATTAACATTGGGACACTTGCCACATTGCCACAGTCTATTACACCCAAGACCACGGCTGATGAATTACATCTCTGTCAGTTGACCTGTCTAGCAAATTACCAGCATATGAAGAGGAACCCAATATCATTATCAGCATTACTGACCGCGATGGACAAAGTAATAGCAGGCTATGTTTCACTTGTTCGGTGCTTCCCCACTGAAACCAGACCACGGTGTCCTTCAAGCCATAATGAGAAACACTATTGAGAAGATTGTCAATCCAAATAACAGAAGAACTGAGGCGTGACAGTTCAGAAAATTGGGGATAAGTACAGCAACAGAACCAATTACTGGCAAAGGGGTTCTTTTTCTCCATGTTCAGTCTAAAATGACTAGAATGACCCAGTCAAGGCTGTTATCTAATTTTCACGTGTATCATGATTTTTCCTTTGTCTGCTTCTATATGCCTGCTGAGGCTGGGAGTTCTTTGAACACCTACAGTTTCATTTAGAGCTGCTTTCTTTCCTTAAATATATATGAGTCCAAGCCATAAAAAGGAATGTGTGGACATGACATATTGCCCTGTAAATGGATAGTAAGAATAGTCCTATTCCCTGTCTGTCTCCTATATTATATGCATATAGATGGGTTGTGAGCATTCTTTAGGCTTTTCCACTTACTTGCTCACTTCATTTTTCTTCCATAACAACATTAAAAGTGTGTGCTATTAAATCTTCTGCCAAACTATTTAAGGATATGATCCATTACAGGCCATTTGACTTACACTGCACTCTACTATGAGAGCACCAGGGAGAATTCATTCTCTAGAAAACAATGTACAAAATAAAGATGTGAAAGTTAAATAAGAGAGCAAGGATTTTAGGGCTATGAGAATCTTGTAAGTGGGAAAAGTCCTTCAGAATTTACCTACGCCGTAGAGCTGGGGAAATAATGAATTTTTCAGTTCTGTGGCAATTTTGAAAAGTTGAAAAAATTATCTTGGATTGGAGCGAAAAACGACCATTTTTTTCGAAAATTTTGGTGAATTAAAAACTAAAAAGGAAAAAATTTGTTTCAAGTCAACCAAAGGTTTTGATTTCAAGCGTTTTTAGACATTTTGAAATGTTTAAAAATAAAATGAAAAAATGTCAAAATTAAATGTTTCTGATTTTTGAAAAAAAATAGGGTTTATTTTTAAACAAACAATTTAGTGAAATGAACATGAAGTTGTGAAACAGTCTGGTGTAATTAAATCTGCATTTTTTTTGGGCTGAAAAAATAGTTTCTGTTGAAAAATTTCACCAAGCTCTACTATCTAGTGCTTCCGTCAAATCCTGGCTGTAAAAGACCTCCCCCTCCCGCCCACCCCCACTTAAAAGTGTATCAAATGGCCCAGAGCACAGGGGCAAGTCCCTTGGGAGCTCTCGTCAGATGCTAAAATATTTCCATACTTTTTAATGTCTCCTTCCCTATTGGAGGCAAGGACTTCCCTACTCTGAAAGTGTGTCCGACCACATTAGCACTTTGCTAATTAGAGTAAACTTTTTTACAGACGTGTTGAGAGCATTCTACACAGGATATGATAACTGATGGGTGATCCCTGGAGTTTGCTTCAGTCTTGTTCACAACCAGTTTCTCCCATTGCTTGCCCAGTTCTCAGGAAAAGGAAAGGAGTAGCCACAACCTTAACTGTCTACAAATTGAGCACATTGTATCAGTTCCTGCTGGTCTGGAGACGACTTGAAAGAAACCTCTCCAATGGGTTCCATCTCATCCTGGATTTGAAGCATTTAAACAAGAAAGTTGTGTCAGAACAGGGCATTGAGAGTAGGAGGATAAATAAGAGAAATAGAGGGAACTTGTACTCTTGGCATGAAATCCTCGTCCTCTTGGGGACAGGATTTCAGCTGTAGAACTCAATCCTGAACTTCATTTTGGACCTTTTGTGAAACGGGGGTGGCAAGAAAGAACTTAAAATTGAGAGTTTTCCCCCAGGTAAATCTTCCATTTGTTAGGGGATTTCTAGGATGGTGTGAAGTTGAACTAGTTTGCTCCTATACCAGCCCAGCATCTGGAGGGGAGGGCATGGCCAGAGCATACTGTACTCCAGGGAAACGTGAGGCTGCTTTAAACTATGCTGGAATGACTGAAATGGCCTGGGGAAGGCTCCAGGATCAGGCGGCCACCCATGTCCGCCTCACCTGCACTCAGTGCTTTCTGAGTGCAACTGAAGTTGGAAGTTCCAGTTTAGATTGGTACCTTTCCTGGGCAGGGACTGTTCCATCCTTTGTCTTGTGTACAGAGCAGAGCACAGGGTCAATATTTAAATGACAAATAATTCATATGTGAATTTTTTCCTCCGTGCAGCAGCATTTTCTTTCAAATGGCACTCTGCTCTCTGTCAGTATCTTAACATTGACTATTTCTTACCAAAGGCAAAAAAAGGCAATTTGATGAAAAACCATATCCATTTTTGGGGAACATTTATCACAATTCAAACGTGTACAGAATGTATAAGGAAAATCAATGAAAACAAAGGATATAAAGTTAAAACCAGCCGTGGTTGGTTTTGTTTTGAATGGAATACCTAGAAAACAACCAGCAAACGTCTTCATTTATAACCTGAAAATAAACAGTGTTAAAAATGGAGTAGCAAATAAAATAAGTTGCATTAAGGATACAAGGACTCCTTATTAAGGAAACATAATTGAAGAAACCTCATTGACAACTTTGGTCCTGAATTTACAATGCCTGAATTACCACAAGCATCATTTCAAGTGTAAACACTTAGTTCTTCTAAAGTGCAAGATGCATACGCCTTCTGGATATCCAAGTCCATCTCATTGTTGATGTGTCTTATAAGCTCATTTTAAGACATATTAGATACAGCTCTGGGCCATGCATGGTTTCCATTCAAAGCAACTGAAAGCAATACTAGAATGTAAAATGTTGCTGTTTTGGGTGGTGGGGTTTTTTTAGGTTGAATGAATACATTTTATTTTTAGTTGTGCTTTTCTGCATTACCTAAGCATGCACGTGATAAAGGCATCACAATGGAATCATTTTTGGAAATACTAGTTTTCTTTGTGTTGGGTAACTGTACATTTAGTAAGGATGGAGTCATGATTAGTTGCAGTCCCATGTACTTTTGGTTTCAAAGTTTAATCCCTAATTTAAAATTACTCATAGGTCAGATGTAAGTCATGCAGTATACTGCCTTTTTTTTTCTTTCTTTTTTAGTTTGCTTGCCTTTTGAACAAAGAAACAAATAATATCTTAGGCAAATCTTAATCCCTGAGCTGCTTCAAGGAGATGTGCCTTAAAGAAACGTGTAAATGGAATGAGTACCTGAGATGGCAGAATTCTGATTATGTGTAGTTTAAGAAACAGTCTCATTTATGGTGTGTTATAATGGGCCATACTGTGGGTGGTGCAAAGTGATGCTGGCCAGGATTCCTATTGGAGCTTTGTTGACTTGTGGTCGTATTTAAGGGTGATACACATTATAGTGATGTTTCCTAAAGCTACTGGCTTTCTGCTTGAATCAAAAGTTGTCAGTAAACACGCACTGCAAGTAGGTTATTGAAGTTTCTGCTAAATATTTGTTTACAGTGAAATTACCCTTGTACATTTGTAGCCCAGTTCATTCCTCATTCCCACTTAGTTTGTGAAAAATACATCAGGGATGCATTTGGCCCATGCAGACTAATTTGGTATTAACTACTACTAAGAACTGGAATCAGAGATCTCACAGCTGACAGCCTTGGGAAAGATCACTTAAAGAGCAATGAGGACTATGGGCCATATTCTTACATCTTTATATGGCAGTCAATGGAAGTTTTGCCTAAGTAGGAGCACAATATTTTGGGCTTGCAGTATATGATCTGCTCACTGGGAGTTGAGTGAGCAGCAATCAGCGTCTAATCTGTACAGAATGTCATTTAGAAAAGCAACTTCAAAGGGTACTGCATGGAGTGCGTTCAACTTTTTTAATGACTAAAGATTATGGTGTAATCAGATCCAGGCAGGCGAATTGCTGCCTGTAGGGAGAGCTCCATTAAAGTCAACAAGATTCTGTGTAGATGCAGAGGTCCACTCACACAGCTTTCATTGCAGAATCAGGGCCTTGGTTTGGTATAAGTGAAACCTCAGTGTGGTGTAAAGTGCCACTCAAGGATTCAATAAAATCCCCCCTGCTGAATAGAAGCTGCATTTTAATCTTATTTTTCTTTGAAAATAGTGCACTGTGTGATGATACACTGCACTTTATTGTTAAATCAGAAGCCCAAATAGATGACTCTAGGTTTGTCTAACAATTTTATGAGTACATTAGCAACTGTACCTTTATCTAAAATAAATAACAGAAACAGGTTTCTGACAAACCTCATAACTGAGATATCACCTACTATGTATAGAAGAAAATATTTTTAAACTGAAAAATAAAGTTAAAGTTTAGTTAAAAGCTTTACTTGCATGGGAGTGATATCACAAAACTTGCTTTTAATGTGAACACTTCACTTCACAGAATGAAAAATTATTTACAACACTTTACTTGCAGTTTGGTCACTTCTACATTAGCTATACACATTTGCTGAAGTTCATAGGTATGTATCTTCTTCAGACCTAGGCTATATCAGACTGATTGCACATTTTCCTTTCGCACAATGGCTGTCCTATAGTGCACTGAAGAGTCAGTGAGCACTGTCTAGTTACATTCTCCTTTTTATTTATGGCTCAACAAGAAAAAAAATATTCCCCTTCAAACCCAAATACCCTCAAGTGTCTAAAATAAAATCCACATTTTTTAGGGAATGTGTAATTCATTTTATTGACCTGATTTTCATAAGTTAGGTGCACAATTGCATACCTATGTATTACAAACAATTACTGAATTTTGCACAAAAATCAAGGAATTGCACACCTAATTATTTTGAAAATCAAGCACAGTCACAGTCTAACCTAGGAATCCACCTCCCCTTTTCAGCACACGTTACTGAATTATGATATATTTTACAAATATACATTTTGGCCAGCAAGATAATTTCCATGTTAAACAATCTCATTGCCGTCACACGCAGAATTGCAACGTACATTCACAGTTTTAATAGATTGTAATTAGCTTTTCCAGTTGTGCTTTAAAAACTCCAAATATAGTTTTCAATATTAAGTGCAAAGCAAATGTCCTGTGCAGCTACAATTGGTTGCAGAGTTATAAACTCCAGAATTATGAGCAGAAAGTTCCCTCATTCTCCAGTTTCATCACTTGACTTTTCAGGTATGGCCTCCAGGCTTCGACGGGGCTTTGAGACTTCTGCATTTTCAGTGCCTGGTTTATTGAGTCCACATGAAAGAGCGGCATAATGGATTTGTTTCAGATTCTCCAATGTCTCATTTTTAGCATATTTTAGAAGATCAGCTTGTCCCTGTAAGAACAAATACAATTAGAACACACAATCAATAATAGGATTCTTTTCAGATTTATTGTACAGTTGCCCTGCTCATGAAGATAAAAACCAGATTACTGTGCGTTAGTAAGAAGCCATGCTGCTTGCTTTCTCTGGAGCCAACTGGATGTATAAACAAAAGAACAGAAACCCTTGCTACCCAACAGCTTTCAGTAACGGAATCTGCTACAGTTTTAACACAGGCTGTTTATTAATGCAGACAGATGAGAAGATTCATTTGTACACCTCACAGGGCAATTACATGCTTTTGTTTTTTGTTTACCAGCAACTCTCTTCACTCAACATTACCCTGGTGATAAACCTAAATAAGGGCTAGCGTCAGAGAAAGCCCTTGTGAGAGGGGCAGAGAGGACTGAAAACTCAGTGGGGTTACATCTATGATGCTTCCAAGGAATTGTATTTGTCCTGCTGTACTAGGAGGAGCTTAAGGAGCTGCTCAGAGAAAGGGCAGGCCTAGAACTTCGACAGCAGGACCTGTCCTACAGAAATTGCTATGCCTCCCTTCCCTTGGTGGAGTTATGTGATCATTATCTAGGCTCTCCCTACTTGCAGCTGTGCTCAGGAAGAGCCAAAGAGGTGAACCACCATGAGTCAATGCTGCTACAAACAGCAACTCCTCCATATGCTATTTACATGTAGGAATCCATGGGCTGACCATGCTACAGAGAACAGCCTCTTCCCTGAGTCACCACTGCACATAGAAGACTTCACAGTACCCATGTAGAGAGACTCTTGGGGCAAAGGAGACTACATTTGCACTCTCTGGAGGGCCGCCCTTTGCTCGCAGAAGTAAAACAGGATAAGCCAGGTCTGAATAAGCATATGAGATCGGTATAGAACTTGCTAAAGAATGTTACGGTACTGACACCTACAACTGATGAAAAATATTTTCATATGGAATCAGAATGTACCAAATTATTTCTGTTTGAGCCACACAAATGGAAAACATTGCTGTATACAATAAATAAATAAATAAATAAATAAAAATCCTCCTTGAAATTGCAATTGGCAATGCATGTTCCACCTATGGGGAGACAAGTAACAGAAAGTTCAGCTACTGGTTTCAATAACGTTTTGATTCTTTCATCTGTTAAAGGAAACCAGGACTTTTTTTCCCCCCCCTAAACATGACAACCAAGAAAGTTAATTTAAAACATTCCGGTAGAATAAGTGAGTCATAGCGAGAATGCATCTGTCTCTAGCACAAGTTGTTATGTGGATTAGTTAGAATGCACTTTTAGAACTTTATAGAACTTTAACCAGGCTGTTTATTATAGGCTGTGCTGGTAGCTCGGCCTACAATTAAGCTTGCCTGACCCTCCCCATTATGAGACTTTGTTGCTTACCACTATGTGAACCTTTAACTGTTTGGGCTGAAATTTTCCATACTGCGTGTCAGCCTCAAGCTGATTTTTCTTCTGAAAAATTTCAGCCAAACAGTTCAGCCATTTCCAAGAACAAGATTACAGAAAAATGTGGGGTTTTTTGTCCATGTTAAAAAATTCTTGAGACCTTTTCTTTGAATGGCTCTCATGTTCAATATTTTAAAGCAAGGACTTGTAATTTGGCAGGGGGGTGGCCTTTGTATCAGGGATGTGCCTTTTGGTGTGAAAATATGCTCAAGTTTGGCCAAGTTATGAGCCTTTGAAAACTGAAGTTTGCCCATGCTCAGTAGAGATTTCAGCAGCTAAATTTCCAAAGAGTCTGTCCTCAGGGAGCATGCGCCTGCATATGGCTGTGCATGTTCTATCCAGCCCTGGGATACAAGTGTGAAGCATGACTTTCTCTGTAATGGCTGCTCCCAGTTACTTTGGGCAGGGGTGGGGTGGGCCCTAGAACTACGAGCAGGGAGATGGTCTCTCCTGTGCTATTAATTACCATGCTTCTGCCCATGCCTCGTGGAGAAGGAAGCTGTCTGATTCAAATGTAGAGGGGACAAGAGCTGGACCAGAGGGAGAAAAGGAGTGGATTGGGATAAGGAGGCTGGCAGAGGGGGAAAGAGAATCTGGGACTGGGAGCCGGTGTGGTTGGGCAAGGAGACTGGGTGGGACTCTTTGGGAGAGGACACTGGGAGATGATGGAAGAAATGCAGTGGGGAGATAGTTGGCTTATGGGGTGAACATTGAAATCAGACAAGGGGCTGGGGAGCAGAGGGACAACTGGGACTGACTGGACATAAAAACCAGGACTAAGACCTACTGGGGAGAGCTGAGAAAGCTGGGGTGCTGGGAGAGAGCAGGGGCTGGCTGGGAAAGAAGACTGGGGGCTGGGGTGGACAGGGTGACTGAGATAGGATGACAAGCCTGCAGAAGAAGACTAGAACTGGGAGCGAGTGAGTGGGGTAGATGGGATGAGGACTCAAGAGAAGAGAACTGGGAGTGGCTGGGCAAGAAGCCTGGGACTGGAAGTGATGGGGGAGAAGAGGAGAGACTGGGGTCTCAGACAGCGAGCCTGGCCGGGGAGACTAGCAGTGGTTAGGCAAGGAGACTGGGCCAGTAAGTTAAGAAGAACAGTACTTGGGCAGGGAACCAGGGGTGGGGAAGAGACAGGACTGGGACAAGTTGAAGGGAATGGTGCAGAATGGGTCAAGTTATTGGGGGGGGGGGAGCAGTGGAATAGGCAGAAGAGTCTCTGCCCACTAGAGCACACTCCCATCCAGAGCCTGAAATGGAACCCAAGATTGCTGAGTCTCACTATTCCTTTGCTGTCAGCAAATATCTATGAAACCCATTGGGAAAAGCGTGCCTCTCTCCCTGCACCCCACTGCTAGTCCACACAGAGAATGACACCCTGCTATTGCTATCTGTTACTCCATTAACTCAAGTGGGAAAGGTCAATGCAGTGGATCTAAAGATTCCATCCCTGCTGATGAACCATGTGGTTGTCAATATGATGCCACAGGATGGAATCCCCCCCCCCCCCAGTTTGCTTGTTTAAAAACCTAGGAAATTACACACAAACTCTGTTAAAAGTCCACTACCGAGATTGCAAAGTAAAGCACTTAAATGTTAAGAAATGCCAGAATTAGGATTAATTCTGCACCCTTAATTTCCCCACTGGTGCACAGGCAGTGTGACACAGTCTTTAATTACATGATCACTTACTGTTTTTCCACAGGACCAATTTTCAAAGCTTCATAATTCTTTCAAACGAATTCACCCCAGAACAATACAAGGCAATGTTCCTTGGTAAGGGCTATTACAATGACATATTTCCTTTCTTTGAGCCCTTCCATTTTGGCTTTGGGGATATTCAAGAAAAGGAAGCAAGACTTTTAAAAAAAATTCATAGATTAATTGATTCCAAAGCCGGAGAAGACCATTGTGACCATCTAATCTGACTTCTTGTAATAACACAGGGCTCCATTGAACTCCTTCCGTCCCCCCAAAAATGTTTGATAGTTGGCAAGTCCAAATAAGCCAAATAATAGCCTTTTCTGACAAATAAATCTAGCCTCTTCAGCTTCTTTTCCTTTAGCACTGCTCTCTTCTGTCTTGCCTTCTTGTTGGCCACCATGATAACCAGGGTGGTTGTAAAATATTCCATATCTCCAGATGGAACTTGATATTTTCTGTCCACCTTCCTGGATGTGGCGGCAACTGTAGCTGGGGTCTGCTATAGTGATTGGGCTGAATCCATTATTGCTTCATTTATAGGCCAGGATGCCATCCCAGAGCAGTAGATTGCAAAATATTCACTAGTTTGTGGGTGGGCTCCTGCACCTCCTCCAATGGTAGCTGGAGTGCCATTGTTGTTTTTTCCCAGAGGTCTTGGAACTCCTTAAAGTCATCTAATTGTGGGGCCCTGTGGAGAAACACTGCTTCACCCAGAGATGATAAAGCAACTGGTCTTGAGGAATCTATTGAGGAAGGGCTTGTTTCCTCTTGTTCCTCCTTATGACTATAAGAGACTTGAGTTGGTGGAGGTTCGGGTGCTGCTTGAGTTACTAAAAAAATGAATGAAGGAGCTGTAAGCACTTACGGTTGCTCTGAGTAGTCTTGCTTCTCGTGAGATGACCAAGGTGCCCAACAGGGCCACAGGGGCATAGAAGTACAGTCCTTGAGGTCCTGGGGTGAGGAACCAGGTTCCTGGGAGTGTTGAGGGCCCCTGGAACTCCTAAGGTAAAGGGTGGTGGTGATGCTCTCACTGAGTACACATGGCTGTTCATGCTTGTGATCATCACCTGAGGTAACTGAGGATGCTGAGGAGAATGAATACTCTAGATCCATCACAGATGCTGTGGATCTGGGTGTTGCTGGCAATCACACTGAAGTACTTGATGCCATATTCAAGAGTCTCAGCACAGTCAGGGTGAGTTAGGTTGAAAGGAGTGAAAGTTCTTGTGGGATTGGAAGGTCTCGATAAATCTGGCTGGTGCTGGTACATGCATCCCGGGGTGGCTGGTCCAATCAGTGCTGGAGTTCAACCCTTGACCATGCCTAGCCTCATGACAGCGCTGACTTTGCTACCAGTGCTTGGGTAAAGTGTATTTTTCCCCACTGGTATTTCATTCATATAGGCCAGGGGCTCTCAAACTTTTTTTGCTGGGCCCCCCTTTGAAAATATTTGTGACAACACCCCCCCCACATACACACAAAAAAGGTGATAGCAAATTACTGTACATAATCATAGGAGCATATGTGTGGTACTGCCACCCTTACTTCTGAGCTACTGCTGGCGTTGGTGCTGTCTTCAGACCTGGGTGGCCGGAGTGCGGTACTGCTCTACCCACCCCTACCTCTCACAACCCCCTGACAATAGCCTTGCAACCTCCTTTTGGATTGAGATCCCTAGTTTGAGAAACACTGATATAGAAAGAACTATTCCGAAAACTTTCCGAACAATCTGTAATCAGGAAGTGGCAAAGCTTCAAAAAATGTCTCCCAAAAGGTAGAAGTTTCAAAAAATTCTTAATGACTGGAAGATAGGGGAGTAGTGTGACAGAATGGAAAGAGTCA